TTCTGCTTCCTAATGAAGCATTTTCCATTATGTTTATTAAATTTCCTTCTGCAGTTTTCATCCCATTTCTTTAAGTTAACAGTACAATCTTGAATTATATTTTATAATTCTGGGATATCCTAACATTAGGTGGCCTACAAATTTATCAAGTATTCCTTTCTCCTCCTCACCCATGTCAGCAGAGAGAGAATAAATAAAAGACTGGACATGGTATTATCTCACTTAATACCTCACATTACGTAGAGGAGAAACTCTTGAGGAGAAACTATTTGAATATGATCTTTGAGGCAAGATATAGTTTGCTGCTCACATCTATAGACCACCCTTCTTCTGACTTGAAGAAGTTTCTTGGATGAGAAGCAAAAAGTCTTCAAAGAAAAAACAATGTACAATCGCCTTTTGAAAAACCACCTTTGGGATAGACCACCCATTCTGTTCACAAAACTTCCCTCACACAGGATTGTGATTCCTTGAATTTTCCTTCTACCCTTTTTGAAGACAGGACCATCGTTTGCCCTCCTCTATTTAACTGTCATTTCAACAGTTCTCAAAAGATTTTTTTTTGACAAGTAAAAGATTCAAACAGGACATCAGAAGCTACTTCAGTATCCTAGCATACAATTCATCTGTTTCTGGAAATTTCACTCAAAGTAAGTAGGAGTTTTTGGCTTTATTTTTGTATCACTTTCATACTTTGGTCCTATCCTTTCATGATGTTTTTTGCAATCGTCTGATGAATCATCTCTCTTTTGTTGAGCAAAAATAAAGGCGGTGAATACATGTGTCTTTCCTTTCTAGCATTACCAAGGAGCTAGAATACTTTCCCCCCCATTTTTTTAAACTTTAATTGGTTACTGAACTCATACTCAAGCTTCTGTATACTGTTGCATTCAATATTCAAGTGTGTGTGTGTGTTTTCTTATGTTTTCACAGGTGTTTATATGTATGGAATTCAGCTTTGTTTGGGTATTTTCCCATGTCTTTATAGTTGTGCTTTTAAAGTTGTAGCGATGTTTCAGCAGAATCTCATCTGCCATCATCAGGCTTCTGTATTGTGTTCGTCTGTGAGTCAGACTTTCACAGCCGTTCCTGTTTTAAATTTGGTGCTAGCCTTGTGCTTTGTTAGCCTTGTGTTTTTCTTCGTCCTGATTGGTTGGGAGTCTTGGTCTGTGTTCATTGTTTTTGGAGTTTGCTGTGTTCTGCTTGATTGGTGTTTCTAATATCTTCTGTCTGTTTTGTAGTGTTTTTTTGTCTTGATTAGCTGGCAACATTGTGTTTTGTGTATTGGGGGCTTTCAGTGCGGCTTGGTTTTGGGTGAATAGCTGAATACCATACATACATACATACATACATACATACATACATGTGTGTGTTTGAATGAAAGAATCTTTTGACATTTTAACAACAGAAGAGTGTTACATTTATAGGGACATTAATATGGTATTTTATACAGTAGACATTTAATGAATTTAATGTGTGATTAAATAAAGTAACAAATGAGTTTTATGGCTATAAGGCTGCTATGTTATCAAATACCTATATCTATATTTACATCTATACTTCTGTCATCAGTCTGTCTCCCTATCTGTCTACTATATATTTTTCAATATTCTACTGTGGGGTTTTTCAAAATGCTTCTTGCAAAGAATTACTTGTAGTTTATTAATGCTTTAAATTTTCTTTTCGTTATCTTTCACTTGGTTGTAAATTTAATATTGTGGATTCTTCTAGAAATGTGCCAAATTGGACAGCAGGCCAGAAATATCTGAAATAAACATGATTAATCATCTGATTTGAATATAATGTGGATTAGATGAGCCTCAATCAGTGAGCCATTGTGTTAAATGCATTCATCTGGTGGTTTGGGGAACATTTACCCTGATCTAGTTTCTCACAAGCTGAAATCAGTGAATTGATTGAATATTGGACAAGCTATACTTGTCTGAGAGGAAGTCGCAAACCCAAACCCTTTGAAGGCCATTTGTTATTTTTGTATGCAAATTGTTTTGTGAGAAGAATTTTGCACCCCAGGAATAAATAAATCAATAAATGACCTGAAAAGGATTACCTGCCATGATTTAAATTAGGTCATTTATTAAGACAGGGATTCAAGCAACATTGCATATTACATATAGGCCTGTAGAATAGTTGTCTGTGGTTTTATGTTGTTTCCTTTTTTTTTTGCCTTTATTCTTGCTGTTGTTGTTGTTGTTGTTGTTGTCTTAAGGTTAGGATTGTTGTTGCCTGGACAAGTCTCTATAGTTTTCCTGGCAAAATTTCAGAAGTTGTTTTCCCTTGCCTTCTTAATAGGGCTGAGCGTGACTGCTCCAAGATCACCCAACTGGGTTGATTTATAAAGAAGAACTAGAACTCACTGACTCCTGGATTTTAACCTTGTGTCTTAATTACTAGACAAAACTGATTGCATATAGTTTTATTAGTGATATTTAACTTTTATGTTAATCAACTTTCATTTTTGTTATGGTCTTACTATACCTATCCATAATGGGAGAATGGTCCTTATCATTTAAAGGCAATGGGCAGCCTTCACCTTTGAAATTCATTCTTTTATTCATCCATCCATCCACCCATCTAACATCTATCATCTGCCTGCCTGCCTGCCTGCCTGCCTATCCATCTATGTCTCTTAACTTAAAAGCTGTGGAAGGGTTGCAAAGAAGGCAGGTAAACAGAAGCAAGAGAGGAAAAAGGACACAGGAAAGAGATTCTGGGTAAAGAAATTAAACCCTAAATATATGTAATCCTAAAAAAAAAACAATATGCAATCTGTGATGACTTTCTTAAATCCATAAAGATTCTGAACATTTGTGGACACCATATTTATGTTGCCTAACTGGCTTTGGCGGGATGGGTATTTCTACATCTAGGTGAACACAGGTGGGTCTCCCAATGAGACAACAGAGAACTATATGAAAGCATATGCATCCGGTGCGTACAGCAATGATAAATCACATACAATGGTGGGGGCTGTAAAACAGGAAAAATAGAAAGAAGAGAACAGTCTCTTTTCTCCCCTGTTTTCTATTGGTGCTATTCATGCTAGCAAATTTGCCATAGAACTGTGAATATTTATTTAGTCTTCTTCATAATAGGGGTGATTTAAAAAAAAAAAAACTAATGGGGAATTATTGGGGGACAATGAAAGACATTTGTAAATTAAATAGATAAGCCCGTTGGCACACAAGGGATGTTTTGTCCAATACAAGAATTCTATTGTCCATTGCTTTGGTTGTCAAGAGCCAGGGAGCAGAGGATTTATGAGGATGACACAATGATCCTTTCACAGTGCAAGCGAAGGAGCTGTGAGATTCTGTCCCTCTGCTTTTCAGCCTCTATAATCTTTTTTATCATGTAAGGACAATGTAGGATTTAACTGGTTCTTGGACTGTCCATTTAAACACCAGGGACTGTGAAGTAATTAATATGGGGACAATAGATTTGCTTTTTTAAAAAAAAGAAAAAAGAAAGCTTTTTTTGTACCTGAATTACCCGAGGTTTAAGAATCACTATGCTTGCCACTTTGGATAAACGGTCTTCTTAAGACATGGCTTATTCACAAGAATAAAAAAGCTATAATCCTGTTTTGGAATTGGAGGAAAGACTGTTTGTTGGCAGCTTGTTGGTGGCGTTCAATCAAATGTCCCGTTCTTTCCCCTTGGCTATCTGTTGCAAACTTGAGAACCAGGACAAAATTGTATTAAAATGGCTAATTAAAATGGCTATGCATATGTCAATTTCGGGGTTGACAGTATGATTTAAAGAACCTAGCTGATTAAAGAACATGAAAAACAACAACTACAATAGATATTGCAAGGTGTTATTTGAAAATTACAGCAAAAGTTATTAGTAATAAAAGTTACAGCAAAAGTTATTAGTAATAAAAATGCTAAATCTGAACCTAATATTGTGTGTTGCTTCGTGACATATCTTGAGAAATGGCCACTGAGTTTTGTTTTTGCCCCTCCTGACAAAATCCTTAGATAAAAATTCCCCAGACGTTTCCCAGACAGCTTTTCTACAGTTCTTGAATGTTTGTAGATTTAAGTGTCACAAAACATTTTCAGCTATATTTAATAGAGTGCTTTAAGTTGAAGAGAAGACGTTTTCAGAGATTTATTTTTAGAAAAGGTCAGTATATACAGTGATGGTCCAAGGCAGGATTTGAAGCCACAATAAACCATGTCACAACAAAAGGAGTAGTTGGAAATAATTCTGACTTTCCTAATTCTCTAATCTGCTCTTGGAGTCGGGCAACAGGCTTCTACAGGTTGCATGTGACAATGAATCAGTGGAACTGCCTGTCTCCAGAAGTTGTGGATGCTCCAACACTGGATATTTGTAAGAAGAGGCTGGACAACCATTTGTCTGAAATGGTATAGAGCATGGGGTTGGACTAGAAGACCTCCAAGGTCCCTTCCAAATCTATTATTCTGATCGTTATTCTGTTATTCAGCCTTCCATTTTTGTAGACTTTAAAGTCTTTTGCAGACCATTGAAGTCCACACATCTTCAAGTTTCCAAGGTTGAGAAACACTGCCTTAGAGATAAAATTGAGTGCCATTTCACCCCAAGTAATAATGCCTAGTTTGTCTTAATTTGTAGTTCAGCACCCAGAAATATTAAAGATGAGAATCCACTTAATGGACAGTTAACTCTTGGCAATAAGATTCTATTGCTGCTGTAGAATTTTTGTTTTCATGATGATGCTCCCAAGCATCTCTTTTATCAATGTACATTTTACTTTAAATGTAATGGGATACTGACCTGGGTTCTATTCCTTTAATTATGGGAACATTTTGCCTGAAAATGTATTTGCATCTGTTATTTGTTAAGTCTAATTTGGGCCCAAAATGCTGTTTCTTTTCTAAAGTGCACAGAGGGAAGGAAAGATAATTAGAAGTTAATTTCTTGTTTTAGGCATCTCTGTCGTTACTCTGACTTACATCTTGACTTCTGTGTCCTCCCTTTTTCTTTTCCAGAAAGTCTTGGATGATTAAATACGTATCTGTGCATAAACACAAGCTTTACTGGAACTGTTAATTTGCTCAAATGGATGGAATATGGTACTTTAACTGGCAACAGGCTTCCAAAGGTTGAAGGTAAGATGCTGGATCACAAAAGCTTGCACTTGTCAGTTTCTGTGCAGCTATAAAATACTAGAACATACTGAACCTACTGCAACTTTCTCCAAGCTGTGTTCCACATTGGTTAGATTATAATTGTGACATTGCCAGAATGAATGGTGCATTAAATGTTGTCCCTTATATCTGGGGAACAAGGAGAGTGACAGCAATGTTTCCTTCTTAACTGCCAAAGAGAAGATAAAAAACACAGCACTAAACAGTCCAAAGACCAAGAAAGATTATTAAGAGACTAGAGGCTAAAGTGTATGATGAACGGTTGAGAGAAATGGGTATGTCTAGTCTTAAGAGAAGGACTAGGGGTGACATGATAGCAGTCTTCCAATATTTGAGGGGCTTCACAGAGAGGAGAGGGAGGTCAACCTACTTCCAATCCACTTGTGATGACCCAGGGTGGGATACAAAACAAACACAGTCACAGAAAACAGGTGAAGCCCCTTTTATTCCTTCACTTTGCTTCCAAGCTCTGAATATCTTTGACAGAAGACAAAAAAACCTCCCACACAAACAGTTACACAAAGAAGGAGAAAAGCAAGACAAATCAGGCAAGATAAGGGCTGGAGGATGTCCACAGATAACACATTCTGGGAAGGACAGCAAACTCAGAGAGGAACTGTAAATTAGAGATATTTACACACTTTGTTTCCAGCATTTGCAGGTAGCAGGTCCAAACTCTTCAGTTGTCACACCTGCAGCCCATGAAGAGGATCAAGGCCTTCTCCTCCCGAGGAGACCAGGTCTCTCCCTTATCCTCTCCTCTCTGCATGCCCTAGGATGGATAAGGGATGGGCCTGGGTCCTCCTCTGACTGCTCAGCCGGCCTCTGCCCTTCCCCAGCCTCCTCCACAACCTCCGGAGCCACACTTCCACTCCCTGTTCCTCCTCTCCCTCAGAGTCAGTCTCCACCAGGAGCATAACAGTACTGGAGGACAGGAGTAGAAGTAACAGGTGGAAGATCGTTATAGAGGAGTCTAACCTAGAACTAAGGAGATATTTCCTGATAGTGAGAACAATTAATCAATGGATTGACTTGCCTCCAGGAGTTGTGGTGCTCCATCACTGGAATCTTTTAAGTAAAGACTGGGCAGCCATTTGTCTGGAATGGTATAGAGCAGGGGTCTTCAAACTTGGCAAGTTTAAGGCTTCCTGACTTCAATTCCCAGAATTCCTCCTCCAGTCATGTTAGCTCAGGAATTCTGGGAGTTGAAGTCTACAAGTCTTAAACTTGCCAAGTTTGAGGACCCTTGGTATAGGGTCTCCTGCTTGAACAGGGGGCTGATCTAGAAGACCTCCAACTTATCTTCCAACTCTGTTATTTTGTATTATGTAAAAGGAGGCTAGCATGACTTCGGGGGATGAAAGCTTCAAAGTGGGGGTTATGTGAAGACCCCAGATTGCCCTTCTGAATGCCTCTATCTTTTTCCTTTAGCTCTTTCTGTTTTTTCCCCTTTGGTTCCTTTACTGGTTCTCCTTTGCCTCTCTAATGGTATGTGGGAAAGACCTTGGAGATTATCCATCTGCAGGCTATGCTGCCTCTTACCTGACCATTCCCTCGACAATGGTAAGAGACAGCATAGCCTGCAGATGGATAGTGGATGGGGTGAGAAGTTTAGAATAGATTTTTGAGCTATAAAAGAGATGGGGGAGAGGAAAAATGTACTTGCAGTCTTTAAAATTGTCAAAACGTTGGTTTACAATGAAGTAGAATTAGCTCAGAGGGTGATGATTCCTGGTGAGGCTAACATCAATTTTTGAAGGTACGATTTTGAAGGTACAATTTTCCCCACATCTCCTTCAGAGCCTGAGAAACTGGGATGATTGCTGAATCTCTCACCTACTGTCCAACTATGCTATCTCTTATCTGACCATTTCCATGGCACCCTCTCTTTTCCCAGTCTCCCAAGTCTTTCCAACCTGAGCATATTTGCATTCAGGCAATCATGCTTGTCAAAAACCTCCTTAGATATCCTTAACATTATATTCTCATTTGAACTGAGATGCCTGTTGTAAGTTTCAGGCAATGCTGACATTATCATGCGGTATTTAGCAGACTCATTTATATTGTTTCATAGTCAAGACGGTGATGTTCTGCTTGATAGCGGCTTCATTTCTGTTTCAAAATGTCCTTGACTGTTCATAATCTCATTTCTGGCAGCTAAATGACAGGCTTTGTGAAATTTCTTAGGGAAGGATAAAAAACCCTGCCAGAAAGGCAAGTGTGTATTCCTTTCAATCAAGAGCTAAGGCAAACTGGAACAATTAGAATCACAGGTCAATAAACCCCATTTGATAGTCAAACAGATAGACATTTATTTTAATGTGTGTTGAGTATCTACAGATTTAAATAATCTCATATTAAGGACATCTGCAAAACCACAAATGACTCAGTAGAGCACACTATTATGCCCCGTTGCTAATGGGAACTATGGTTTCTAGCTACTAAAAGTCCGTAAACATTTTTTTTTAATTCATTAACTCCATCATTTTTTAAACAGTATTTTTAAAATTATATCAGATCTTTCCATGATTTATTTATTTATTGCACATTTCTGTTATTGTGTACTTAGAAGTACAAAATGTTGTGTGTGGTTTAATGATATTTCCAATAAGTACCATCCGAGAAGTCCATAAATTAAAGAAACACTAGATAGAACATCTATAAAACAACCATGATGGATTTCCTATATTTACACAGAAATGTTTCACTAATTGTTTGAGAAGTTAAAGAATAAAGATGAATAAATAAATAAATGAAAATATGCAGAACTGACATGAACCAGACTTCCCTTAATCCATATTATATCTTGAGGACCACTTAAAATATGCAGTGCTAAACAGTAGCTAGGAGATAGTGTGAGATTTCTATATTACCAAGGTTTTTTTTAAAATTCATATTCTCCTAAATCTTTTAGAATCACAGAATCCTGAAGCAAAATAGAAATACATTAAAGTAGAAATACTAGATTAAAATTAAGTTTTTAAAAAATGTAACCATAGTAATAGTCTCCTAGTAAGACAATAATCTGACATAAACAAATTTGAAACTAGCAATTACAATGCCAAATGTTTTAGAAAAATAGGTGTGATATGTATGGATATCTTCACCTTTATAAGAAATTCAACATTAAGTACTCATCCATATGAATCAGCATTGGAAATGTATGCTTGAAATTCTCAAACACCAAAGTCTCTTTTCCAAAGGAAAAAAACTTTGGAGAAATAGTAAGTCAAATTAAGTATTTTCAAGCTTCATCTCTCAATCATCTTTGATTCTGCACTATAGTCTACTTGCCACCAAGTATTTTTCTTCTTCTGCCTAGCTGAAGCAGAGAAAAGGCTAGCAGCAACTTAATGATCAGCCCCTGGTGTGCTTCTAAGAAGGGTTTTTATTTCTTTGGAAACTCTATACAAGGTTTCTAGAGATACAATAAGGAAGTAGAGGGAAATAGAAATAATTTTCCAGGTTTTGCACCCCATCACTTCAAAACAGGAGATATAAATGCATTTTTTTGTTTTCTTTCTCTCTGGCCTTGGTTTGAGAATGTATTTTAGTCAGCAGGGGGAGATAAGGGATGCACAATCCCAGCCTTGAAAAGTCAATACAGTATTTGGCAAATAGAAAAATATCATCTAGTTTTTCTGGGCTGCCTGGACATCCATCATTATGGAGTGCATGGGGGGAATATCCAAAAGTCATAGTAAATACGTGTCTTTATTGGATCCAAACAAAATACTACATCATAGTGAGTTTCCTGGAATGCTCTATTTTCATTAAAAAAAAAAAACCTCTAGGGGAAGGAGAATGCAAAGTAGGACAGGAATGACAGGGAGATTTTAAGGAGACTTGGTGAATGAAATTGAAATCCTTTCAGACTGTAGGCTCATGAACCTAAGCCCAAAGTGGTTGAGTCATGATGACAGTTCTGTTAGCTTGTCAGTGACTCACAACTTGAACAGTCACTTTGCCAATGGATATCTCCCCCGTCCTTCCCTCTCCCCTTCCCCCTCCCCTCCCTCTCTCTTTTCTCTCCATCTGTTATCTATCTATCTATCTATCTATCTATCTATCTATCTATCTATCTATCTATCTAT